GTTCTATAGATTTGAATGTCTTCTTTGACTTTTTCTATTATTTTTTTATGAAATAACACTTTTTCTCGCCCACCTTAAGATGAGGCAACCCGTTCTATTATATATTACACTAAAAAGTACTTCAGATAAACTTGCAGTTTTCCTGTTTTCTACGTAAGTCACCAGATAAGTAAGTGCGACTATACTTGCAAAAGTAAACAAACGTTTTGATCTTATTGTAATATATATAGATTAAAGGCAGACATCAATATCCGACAGATAATAATATAAACAAAACATATATTACAGTGGTAAAAACCTATCTTTTTTCTACATTATAATTATCATTTAATTCTAGAAAATTGAGAATGCTAAGAAATAATATTATAGACAGAACAAGTCGTATATGATATTTATTTTTATTTTTTAATTAATGATACCAGTAAATTTAACAGTAATATTACCATAGAATTAAGAAAAAAAAAATACGCCCCATATACAACATTATCCAATGAAACGATCATATTCAAGTGGAAAAAATTAATAGCAACTTTGTTAGAAGTAGAGATATTACTGTTGACATTTATTAATTGATCTCTGGGGCGAATCACCAGAAGATAATTGATAGCAATTGCCACAGTTAAAAAGATTATCAACAGTAAATGGATACATCTCTGTAGCGTTTTTTAATTCTTTGTTTATTTCTACCATTCCAAAATTAGAAAAAAAACCTAAGTAAATAGCTAACAGAAAAAAAAACATAAGTTTTAGCATTACTGACTCATTGTCATTTTGTAGAACTTTACAAGGTCGAAAACATGTTTTTTTTTTAATAATAATATGACATTATCACGTATTGTCACGTCTCAATATAAGATATTGACCCATCTATGACTGATCTTTGACATAGTTGAACGTTCTCTTTCTATTTACTCTAAATATATCATATCAAAGAGTACAAATTAAGTTCATATGCTTATTTTTTCCTATTCTCTTGTCACATTTTATTCCCATGGACACGCAGTTCATGTCGTGCTCAAAAGTTTGAGTTCTATTTTGATTTCTCTTATTCTTTCACCTTTCTTTCGAATCTTATCATTAAGTTGGAAGGATCAAATACACCTACACAGAAAAGGTAAAAAATATTTTTGTCATTATATGGATAGTTGCTTTTTCTTTTCTTTATATTAGCCTATCTGTGAAAAGTACATTAAATATAAAAGAGTTGAAAGAATATCATGCTTTAAAGTAATTTCGTATTTCAAGAAACTACTTTGAGGGTCATTAATCAATAATAAAATTATCTTTTTTTTTACTTCATATTTACAATAATTTTAAAGTAATTCAACAGTAAATAAATTTTATTTTCATTAGAGTATTCTAACCATAAAAGAGAAAATCTAAACGAATAAATATTCCATATAATGCTTTGTTATGTAGGTAGTTTTCACCATTTCTTTTTTTCATACACGCAAGCAAACACATACAAAACTACTTAGTCACATGAATAATCTTGATGAAAAAAGGATGCAAATATAAAAAAAACAAATGAAATAATGCATGAAACATGTGTGATCATGGAAGAGTAAATCATTTGCATGAGACCAATGATTAGAATAGTCCACAGTTTTAGTAAGTGTTTACTCTTTTGATTTTCATCATTTTTAGAAGCAATATGTAATATAGTTAGATAAATATGTTTGGATTATACTCCTTAGGAAAAAAGAAAATCTCCTATTCTAGAATAGATCAAAACAAAATATACAACACATAACTATTAATTTACAGTATCGTATTATTTTATGTTATTATTAGTTTATTAACATAAAATGAAACGAGTTCGAGGACAACAAAAAAAAAAAAAAAATAAAGTTTAATGTATGTTATTCGTTATAAGATATAACAAAAGAAAAACTTCAACATAGTCAAAATAAAAAAGAAATGAAAATATCAAAAAGAAAAAAAAAATGCAAATATATCAAATAAAAATATCCTTCTATTCGTTAGTGTAGGCAGAGTAAAATAGAGGAGAAAAAAAAAGATGAGCACGGAAAAGAAAATCTTTGTCAGCTTTTTTTTTCCCTCGGTCTCTCTTTCTCTCGTTTTACATATTTGCAGTGCTCTAGTCGCATGTTACACACTACTATCATTCCATTCCATTCCATCCCATTTCTTTTTTTCTTTTCATTAATATCATTAAATAAAAAATGAGATATGATTTAGCGGAGGACAACCGGACTTTTTAGTTATTATAATACATTGAAGAAACATGAAACTAAGTTACATTATAATGAGGTGATTTTTCCACTTTTTAATTTCAACATTTTTCTCTTTCTATTTTACTGTCTTATATTGGAATTCTATAAAATCTGGGTAACGTTTAAAATGAGAATATGTCATTATATACTAATATTTTATAATTTAAATCGTTCGTTTATATTTTAAATGTTTCAGTTCAATGAATAATAATTAAATAGAAGAAAATAATTCACTTAATTGTCTTTATTTCAGATATAGAGATCACTACGTTCATCAATAAATATTCACATCTAGTACTATATATAAAGTTCATTACTTTATTGAGTTACTATTATCACTACTATACGTAGTTCTTTTAAACTCTGCCATCATAATTGACATAGATATATATATATATATATTAACATCTATTTGGACAAATAAGTCATGAATAAGTATGTACAAAATGTTATTTTTTTTTATAAGTTAAAAAGTTATTCTGTTCTTTTTTTCAATAAAATTTTATAGTTCAACAAATGAATCCGTAATCATCCATCCAGTCGATGATTTTGCAACTTTATTATTAATAAATCGAATTATTTATTGTGGTTATTTTTTATTTCTGATATTAGCTGGTACTTGTGGTAACCTTTTAACAGCTATAACACTCCTTCGAGCTAAACTACGTAAATATACGACATGTCAATTTATGGCTGTCTGTGCTTTATTAAATATTGGAGTTTTATTAACAAATACTTTAAATATGATGTTATCACAAGGCCATAGCATTCATTTACGTAGTTTATTTGATTTGGGTTGGTGTCGAATAAATGCATTTGTTGCTCAATGGATACGTGGTATGGCATCATGGATTCTTGTTATAGTTGCATTTGATCGTTTTCGACAAACGAAAACACTTCGACGTACATCAACAAGAAATAATTGTACTGTACTTTATACAATGTTTATAACTAGTGTAATATTATTAATATTAAATTTACATTATCTTCTATTTACTGGAAGTACACTATCATTAAATGGAAATACACCTTTTGTAGCATGTATATTTTATAAACGAAGTGAAGATTATATACAAAGATTTTTTGCATCAACAAGTACATGGCAAGAACTTGTTACAATTATTATTGTTGTAAGTTTTCTTTTCTTTTTCAAATGAAAAACAAAAAGAAAGTTTCATGTTATCTTTGTCTAAATTGAAAAATGATTGTTGACTGTTTGAATTAGAAAAACATCCACTAATAATAGAATTTTTCAATTACATTTATTACATGTTTATTCTTTGTTTTCTTTTTTTAGCCATGTATATTAACATTAATATTAAATATATTTATAATAAAAAAATCCTTTCTGAAACCAGTAAGTAATGAACATCTTAGATCACGTTCAAAAAGTCGTACAAGACGTGTAACAACAATGTTACTTGCATCAAATATTGGATTTTTAGCATTAGTTGCACCTGCTCAAATCTTTTATGCTTTATCATTTGATCCTCAACTTGGTATGGAATCATCAGATAAATATAAATCGTTCATGATACAAGGAAATATTTATCAATGTTTAATCAATACATATTATGCGGCATCATTTGTTTTCTGTTTTGCATCATCATCTATATTTCGACGTGAAATAAAAAAACTTTTACATAAACGATATAAATCTAAATATTCAGTGAATCATACAATACATAATGAACATGGTTCATCACCTGAACATCGTCCATTTATTCATTCAACACAAATAAATGGATTTATTTGTTCAAGTAATAGTCGATCTCATGACTATCCACTTGAAAGTGTAACTTTGAAACGAGGAACTCTATCAACATCTGAATGTGATGGATATATTGAACAGTAAAAAAGTATTTGTTGTGTTTAGTCGTTTTTTGTTTTGTATATTTTTCTAAATGTCCGATGCACGTGGTGATTTTATTTGACTTTTGAAGTTGCATCTGTGAAAACGAAAAACGATGAAATTTCGTAATGCTGTGGTTCTATTCGTTGTTAGTTTGTACTAATAATATTCATATATATGTATGTATATATATATATTTGTATAATCTTTACTAAATAGTGTCTGTTGCGCAAAAAAAAACAAATAAGACATAAAACTGTTTCTACTATTTTTTTTTTGCTTGATTACTTAAAAGCTTGAAATAACATAAGCGGATTTGATTTAATGTCAACAAAAGAAAAATTTATTACAATAATCAACTTTTTATAGTTTCGTTCATTTAGCACTAAATATTTGAGTGAATAATGAAGAATAAAAATAAATACGCAATACAAGATTGATGAAATGTCAACCACGTATTCTTTACTATCAATTTATATGTGAAGAACTTCTTTTTGTTCTGAATAATTAATTATAAAAAAATGCTTTTCTGTATGATTAAAAAGTCTGGAATGAGTGTCTATAATATCGTGTGCACTAAGTATCCGGCTGTACGTGAGATGTAAAATAATTATTTAGGTAAAAAAATAATATCTCATTGATAGTGTTATGTCAACTATTTCATAATGGTAGTCAGAAAAAAAACATTAATTCTATATGCAAAATAAACATGATGAATAGAATAAAAACATCATTTTTTGTTTTTCTAAATAAAACTAATATGGGACATATATATATTTAACTGATATTGAAAGTTAATATAAAGATCATTTGAGAAACTTATTATTTAATTACAAATACTAAGAAAGATACAAAGTAATGACATAACAATATTTATTTATTTTGACGAAAGAATAATTTTCAAAAGGAATAAATAAAAAGGTCATTTTTATGTCAAAAGCATTATGTTAAATATTCCAATAGAACTTCTTTTTATCGTCTCATTTTTCAGGTTTTGTTTCAGTCACGATGCTTAAGGAATTGATCTATAACTTAAATAATACATCTTGTCAAGCAACATTTGTTCCATTTTATATATATTATCTTTCTTTTATCTTTAAATCTTGATTCAGTTTGTATATATCTCTTGAAATTGAAAACTCATGAATTGATTCTAAATAATGATTATATTTAGTTGAGGACTTATAAAAAAAAATAAATGACGAATCAATTCATTAACTATTTCTTTAATCTGATTATTTAGTAGATAAATAATATTTAATGTATCCTAAGAATAGTAGGCAATGCTTTATCCAACGTGAAGACTGCTCATCTTTGAAAAGTAGGTTAACTCTCTCAGAGTTTGTAATGATTGCATCGCGTACTGTATGTTTATGTCACTTATACTAGATGTTCGCCTTTCCATTACTTCTTATTTTCTTTTACAATAAAATTCATTTATTCGAGAATGTCTGTTTTCTCGTATTTATCCTATAATCTTATGTCAGGATATGACTTTTCCTATGTTTTTACAGATATATATATATATTTGTTTATTAAATCTAAAGCATTCATGACTTGTAAGAGAAAAAAAGTCACAAAACTCTTATCAAAGTCAAATAAAAGGAAAGTCATCTTATATAGAATTTAATTAAAATCTTGTTTTTCTTATTTATCAATGAAAAGTACTCAACTCAAAATAAGTCAAAATCGTAAATGATTTATTCCAGTAAAGATGCACGTTTAGATTGATTTACTAAATTATCTTTCTTGTTGAAATGAATATTTTTAAGAATTAAGTACATTTTTAATCATATTTCTTAAATAAAAGAGAAAAAAAGTTTTTTTTTCTAAAGTGATAATTAATTTGTTTATCAATGAATAAACATAAAGAATAATTTGAGGTTAAAATGGTTGAATAATATAGTAGAAATATTTAATTATTTATTCAAAAGCAATTCATGACTTTTTTCAATTATAGAAAACACAATCATCATGAACTTTTTTCTATTGTTTTTATAGCACAACTATAATTATTGAATCTGATGCATAAAAACAAGATATTGCACTATAAATACAAGAGTGCATTGTAACTGCTTATTTTTCTTAGAAAAAAAAAGCAGTTTGCTTCAAATCTATTAAATGACGCATTACCGCGTCATAATGTGGGCTAGACTATGATACCGGAAAAAGATACTTTTCCTTTCAGAAAATATCAGTTATAACGTACTTCTGTACTCATTTGGAAACACCTACTCACAAAATACTATAAACTAATAAACATTATAATCATCAACCTTAAAATATCAACAGAAATTGAGAATGCAGAATGTAATGATTTTCAATATAGAACTGAAATTATTAAATTAACTTCATATGAAATTGTCGAAAATTCCTTTTAAAAGATACAGAAAATATTTTTGATTCGATAAAAAAATTTTTCTACTACTAAACTATTCAATCATAAATTTCATTGATGAATAAATAACTAACTGAGATTATGAGTAATTATTTCACAAAAAGCAAAAGAAAAAGTTCTTCATAAATTAAACATAAACCTCATATAAATAATCAATTTGTAATTAAAGGAAAGTCTCAAAGAAAAATATAAATATTTAATATCTTTGTCTATTCAATAAAGATAAGAAAAGGTTCAAAAATTGAATTACGACATTTTCATAATTTCGATGAGATATAATAACATATAAAACTATTTAGTAAAATACAATGTCCGTATTTAAAATGAAAACAAAAACATCATGATTCAATTATTAGTCAAATTGAACATACATGACATTATGTAAAGTTTAATAGATACAATGTAATGCACTCAGTTTATTCTTTTTCATTCTAAATATCTACATTCTACCTACGAAATTCCCTAAGGCAAGCTTAGTAACGATGTCAATTAAGATTTACAATCTTCAGCCGCCTTTGACACTAATACTATGCGTATTCAATACTTGAACAGAAAAGAATATTCTAAATCTTCAGTGATTAGAAAAAATATTATAGGATTATATATGTATCAATTAATTAATAAACTCGAATGCTTATAGTTTCTTGTTATTATTACCATAGTATACCTAAGAATAAGACGAAGAAATCCATAAATAGTTATTAGATAATTCATTTTTATCATGAAACATATTCATTCGGATTTAATTTAAAAATACGAAGTAAGAATAATTATAATTTATCTTGACAGAGAAAAAAAAAATAAGACGTCTATACAATGAAAAATTTCGAAAAATTATGAGCATTGTAAATAATCAATACTGATATTAAGTATTGAGTCTGAATTGTTTAACGTACATCATTGAAACATATCTTCATTTGTTGATAATAATTTACTGAATTTTGTTTGTAAACTATAAATGATTTTAATAACAAATAAGATGTTTTTTTAAATGATTGTTAAGAAGTGCAATGCAATAGAAAACTGGAAGTAAAGATGTGCAAGACTAAGTTTTTTTTTTGTTTCTGGCTCCGGTTTAGAGAAAACTATTCTAGAATTTATTCGTATTACATTTTTAAAAAAAATTTTTAATACTCGGCTTTTGATTTATTTCATCAACGCCTAGTACTATTTTTTGGGTCATCTTAAACTATATTCTGATTGGTATGATTTATAAGATACTTCACTTAAAATCATAGAATAATTAACAATAATCTTGAGTTCCGATTAAGGCAATTTTTTACTCGCGTTCCGGTTTCGGTAATTATTTTTCGCGTGCTCGAAGTCTTAGTCACTGAGATTAAGACTAAAATTTGGTCCCACATATCTTTAATACGGAGTCTTCTATTCTATAGAGATGCGTAAATAAAATCAGGTCAGATATATTTTTGTAATTAAAGTGTATATTAGACTCACACTAAGTAAAGTTATACTTTTTGTTCTAATATGAAAATAATATTCTTTAATAAAACTTGAACATGATTATTAATCGATAACAACATGTGAAATAAATGCTATGGATGATGAATAATAAGTAACACTAAAGCAAAAAAGTCCTCTCATAGATATTGCATAGAGCAATATAAAAAAAAAACCAAAAGTTGATAATGTTGTACTTATTAAAACATGAAATTACTAATTATCTTTGTGATAATGATAATCATTCGAATAGATCTATTTTGATTAATTAATCGAAATCATTGAACAAATTGATAAGGAAGATTTTCATAATTCATGCTATGTCATCATCTGTAAAAAGAATATATTCTCAATGTGATTTTTTTTATTTGGACAACATAGAGTCAAAATGTTAAGAAGGCTATTAGAAATATTCATTATGCTAAAATATAATCAGATGCTTATGTAAAAACTTGTTTCAGTAAATTGATACATAAGTACATCACGAAGTTTGACAAAAGTTCAAATCAATCAATCACTTGAGATTTGACTTGATTCGACTTGTGTCAGAAAAAAACTCATTGACTCATCTCTACTATTTCACTTCACAATTTATTATAAATGTATTTAATGTACGGTTGTGTTTAATCGATAATGAATGTTTTGATTTACACTTCTACATTTATCTTCCATACAAAAAAAAAGCATCTTATCTCATTTCAGAAACAGCTTTATTCGATAAAACTTATTCAATATCGAAAATTTTAATGAAAAGACTTTGAATCGAATATTCTGCATTCAACTTGGCTTGAAAAACGAGATTTTGTAACTATAAGATTGAAAATTTTCTATACAGAATGTTCCAAAACTCGTGTCGAAAAAGAAACATGAATATCTCTTTAACCATTCAAGCAACTTACATAAGGTTTTTATAATTTCATTCCATATTTATTGAAGTTTTATTTCACATAAATTTGTTTCTAGTAGGTACACAAAATGATTACTTATAAATGCAATATATAAATCTATCATTTTTGAAAATATCTGTAAAAACATCGCATAAAATTTAGTTTGCAATCTTTTTGATCTTCTTGAGTATTTTCATTTTCAGCTTAACGAGATCTTTAACAGATATTATGGATGCATGGAACTATTGAAATTATTATAT